TGCTGTTGCTGCTGCGCGGCAGCAGCAGCTGCAGCTGCAGCCGGAGCCTTGCCTCCCGAACGCCCAGCTTTGCGCTGGCTGCTGAGAGCCTCGAAGACGAACACTTCGCGCATGCACTCTTCGTGCTGCTGCTGCTGCTGCTGTTGTTGCTGCCCTTCCTGATCTTGTGGCTGCTCGCACTGCATCATATCATCTTCATGTTTAATTTGCTGCTGGTGCTGCTGCTGCTGCTGCTCAGGCTGCTGCAACAGCTGCGTCCAAATGCTGTCGGGTGGCAGTTGCTGCTGCCACTGTAGCGGTTGCTGAAGCAACAACTCCAGAGGGGCCCCGCGGCCAAAGACGCAGCAGCAGCTGTCTGTGGTGCCCTCGGCACAGTCAGCACAGCATTGCAGCGGCGCAGCAGCAGCAGCAGCGGCAGCAGATGCAGCAGCACCTGCAGCAGCACCTGCAGCAACAGGAATCCCCTCCTTCTGCTCCTGTCCCGCAGCCCCCTTGAATTCTGTAGATGGTGCTGCGACTGCGGCTGCTCTTGAGTCAGGCACAGCAGCAGCGGGAGCTTCAGCAGCAGCGGGAGCTCCAGCATCAGCAGCAGCGGGATCTCCAGCAGCAGCAGCAGCGGGAGTTCCAGCAGCAGCAGTAGCCGGATCTTCTGCAGTAACAGCAGCGGGGGCTTCAGAAGCAGCAACAGTGGGACCGTCAGAAGCAGCAAGAGGAGCTGGCGCAGCAGCGGGACCTTCAGCAGCAGGAGCAGCGTCGGGAGCTTCCGCAGCAGGAGCAGCAGCGGGAGCTTCCGCAGCAGGAGCAGCAGCGGGAGCTTCCGCAGCAGGAGCAGCAGCGGGAGCTGCAGCAGCAGGAGCAGGAGCGGGAGCTTCCGCAGCAGGAGCAGCAGCGGGAGCTGCAGCAGCAGCAGGAGTGCGAGCTCCAGCAGCAGCGGGAGTTCCAGCAGCAGCAGCAACTCTTCGTCTTGCTGCTGTTGCCTCTGTGGTAGCTGCAGCAAGGGGTCGAAGCTTCGCAGCAGCAGCAGCAAACCGGCGAGTAAGGACTCCCGGCATGACGGCGCAGCAGCCCTCAGGTACATCTACAACAGTTTTCCAGTTTGAGTGCAGCGCGGAGTCTGCTGGTGCTGCTGCTGCTGCTGCATCTCCCCCTGCTGCTGCTGCTGCTGCGCCCCCGTACGCGCTGCAAGGCAGCGTGGGGAACCAAGGCGGACACGGCAGCGCCCCCTGCAGCGTCTGCAGCAGCAGCTGCTGCTGCAGTCGCCCTTTGCTGTCTCTGTACTGCTGCTGCGAGAAGAAAAGGCTGCTGCCGCAGCCGTAGGTAAGCCCAGACAAGAGAAAGGAAACGGAGAGCTTCACTTTCTGCAGCAGACGCAGCAGCCGTTGCAGCAGCAGCAGCAGCAGCCGTTGCAGCAGCAGCAGCAATATGAAACGCCTGCTGCTGCGGAAAAAGATGGGAAATAGAGCTACAAAAGACACAAAACAAATAAACAAGTGCTCTATTGCTGCAGTGGTGTCTCACGTGTTTTGCTGCTGACTGGCGCTGCCGAGACAGCAAAGTTTGCTGCACTGAAGCCGGCAGGTGTATGTACACCAGAGGCCGGGGGCTTTCGTCCCGCTTGCTCTGCAGCAGCAGCCACCCACAACGGCCTAGGGTTTAGGGTTTAGGGTTTAGGGTTTAGGGCTAGGGTTCAGCGGTCTAACTCCACTTCCACCTATCGCCCATGCCAATTAAACCCTCAAGCGCAAGCCAAACTCGCAAAGCTAGGCGCTAAACCTTATGCCCTAAACCTTTAAATCCAAATCCTAAACCCTAAACCCTAAACCCTAAACCCTACACCCCAGACCTCCCAAATGGAACTCAAGACCTGCAAATTAAACCATCGGTCTTGCGCTTTGTCCTTAGCTCGACAGCAAGCAAGCTGAAAAATACTCAGTCTATAGGGTATAGGGTTTAGGGTTTAGGGTTTAGGTTCTACCCTGAGCGCCTCCCTCCATGCCAGAAGGTCTAGCCGAATACACTTCGGCTCGGCTTCCTGCTGCTGCTGCTGCTGCTGTTGCTGCTGCTGCTGCTGCTGGTCATCTCCATGCTGCTGCGCGCCCTCGAATCCAAGCTGGAAGACAGCAGGTGTTTTGTCTACCCAGCAGCCGAAAATGCGGCAGCAGGGTGGAAGCTGCAGCAGCAGCACACAGCAGCAGCAGCGCAGGCCTCGGCAACAAGAGCGGCAGCAGCAGCAGCAACTACAACAGCTGCAGCAGCACCAGTGGCAGCACTGCGGCAACTGCAGAAACTGCCGCAACTGCAGCAACTGCAGCAACTGGAGCAGCTGCAGCAGCACGTGCAGCAGTAGCAGCAAAACGCAGCAACTGCAGCGGCAACAGCAACAACAACTGCAGCAGAAGCCGCGACAGCAGCAACTGCAGCAGCTACAGGAAGTGCAGCAGCCGCGGCAACAGCAGCAGGAGCCACTTACATGCAAGGGAATAGCAAAGGGAACACGAGAAGCCTCTCCTGCTGTCTCGCCTGCTGCCGCTGCTGCTCCTGCTGCTTCTGCGGGCTCAGCAGCAGCAGCAGCGAACGCATCCGCCGCAGCAGCAGCAGCAGCCACTAAAGACCCACTGATCTCGAGAGACAAAGAAGTAAAGCCCAAGACAGAACGCGTGGCGAAATCGACTGAGGCGTCCACGTGCTGCTCTCGCAGCGACACTCCACCCGACATCTTGCTGCTGCTGCTGCTGCTGCTGCTGCTGGCAGTGGTGCTTCTGCTGCTGCTGCAGCCTCTCTGCTGCCGTCACTGCAGTTGCTGCTGCAGTTTCCGGCGCTGCTTCGGGGCTTCTGCAGCAGCTGCTGATGAAGCCTCACCAGCAGCTGCTGCTGGTGCTGCTTCTCCTCCAGCTTCTCTTTCTGCTGCTCGAGAGCATAGTTAGTGTGCTGCTGCTGCTACGGGTTTTCAATGGAACATCGGGGGGGTGCTAGTGCTGCTGCAGCACACCCACTGCAGTCACGCGAGCAACAGCAGGCGCTACGCAGCTGCAGCGACAGCAGCAGCACCTGCTGCTGCTGAAGCGGCTTCGGCTCTACCCAAAAAGCCACGAGCAGCACAGCCTAGCTGTCCCGCAGCAGACCCAAACTAAAGCCTAGAGCCTAAATCCTAGGCTGCAAACCCTAAACCGCCGGCAAACACATAAACCCTTTAAACAATATTAACTCTAGGAATGCAGCAACAAATGGACTATGGGGTAAGGCCTGCGCCGGGATCTGTGGAAAGCCCCGAGGCATTCTCGGGGGGCCCCTCGGGGGCCCCCAGAGGGCAGCGGGACCGCTGGATGGCGTTATTTTAAGTCTTCTTTGTCTTGTTATCCAGCGTGAGACTGCGGAATATTTATATTATGTTTAGAGGGAGTTCATGGAAGAGCTCTGTAGCGAACTGTGCAGCATTTAGGGCTCTGTGCTCGGAGTTTAGCATTAAGGGTTTCGCCTAGACTTTCACAGCGGGTTCTGTTCTGCTTGCAGTAACAAGTTGCAAATAAATTAACAGTAATTGAAATATATTGCAAAATATTTTGTAAGCTAGTTACGGAGGCGTTTATCTGCAGTTTCGTTTCCTCGCCTTCATAGTACAGCTCGAGACCGGCACCCACGGTGCTGGGCTACACAACAAACTAACAGCAGCAGCAACAACAACAGCAGCAGAAACAGTAGCAGGAGCAGCAGCAACAACAGGAGCAGCAGCAACAGCAGCAGCATCAGCAGCCCAACTTGGCCTGACTCGTGCTGTCGTAGCCAGCAGCTAGCCAACCCCAGGTTATTCTGCTGCACCAGCTCAGCCCCAGATTGGTCTGCTGCATCAGCTCAAGCCTGTAGAATCTGCTGTAGCGGGCCACTGGGGGAATCAAGGCGCCTGCTGCCTGGGCGCTGCTGCTGCTGCGGCTGCTGCTGCGATCTCAGCCAGTTCTTGTGCTGCTGGCAGCAAAGCTACAGCGCCTCTTGCTGCAGCACTTCAAGTCTAGGAGAAGCCTAGGAAAGCCCACAGCTGCCGCTGCTTAGCTGCGGCGCGAGGCAGCAGCAACCGTGCGGTTCTCTTGCCTCCGTTGATCTTTTCTTTACTAACCCAAAAATGCAAAAACAGAAAAAACCCCAAATCCCCGAATTTCGCTTTTTCTAATTTATATCTTCCCCACCTAGAGCCACAAGGGAGCAGCAGCTGCAGTAGCAGCAGCAGCAGTCATAATTCAACCCAGCAGCACTAGCCTTCCTCAGTACTCTGCAGCTCTCTACCCCCACTAATCCAAAAAACGTCTAAGGTTTAAGGTCTGCAGATTAGGGTTTAGAGTCTGGTAATTGGGGTTTACGGCTAGGGGTGATCAAAACATCTTAAATAACTACTACGTGAAATTCTGTCATGAGCAGCCAAAGAAGCCCCTTTGAGCTGAAAACCAGAATGTTTTCAACTTCAATAAAACATTAAAAATACCTGCATTTGTTTGGAATGTTTGTGTCAGTTGAAACACAAAATTCCAGAAACCTTCTAAACTTAACCTTCTTTTGAAGACGGAACTTCATTTCAGAAACAAAAAAAGATGCAACCCGGCCTGGAGGCCCCAGTGCAAGCTTTCTAAGAAACCCAGAACCCCCGATGGAACTGTGTTTCTTAGAAGAGCACCATTAGCCAAATAAAACTATTTTCCTCCATTCAGAAGCAAAACTTTCATTATTTGCATCTAATCTGAGACCTCTCTGGCCCCTGCGCTGCCCCATAATGCAAATTCCTCAGTCACCACTTCGCCGCGCAGCGTGTTCAGCCCACGCGCAGCCAAAGATGAAACCCTCCCTCCCATAGGGTCCCCAAGGGGTCCCCAAACAGCCCCCAAAGGGACCCCAGGGGGCCCCCCAAAGGGCCCTCAAAAGGACCCGCTCTGGGGGGCCCCTCTAGGGGCCCCCTTGGGGAAGAATGAGCCACTCGAGATATGAAGCTGAGAGGAGAAAAGCTGTCAGGCAGCTTTCTAGTTCGATTTGAAGGTGTCTTTGGGCTGCCAGTACCGGGGCTCTGGCATATTTGGGTTTAGTTTTCTATCGAATTCGAGCCCCAGTTTCTCCTTCATGGCCATCAGCCCGTGTGCCTGCAGCTCCCTGTCTGTCACTGCGTTGTTCACCATCGCAATTATCTCCTCCCTTGTTGTGTCTTCCTTGAGAGGCATCTCTGAGACACATTTGAAGAAAATGAAAGACACCGCGCTGCTGTATGTGCCCACAGGTGCTCAACTAAAGGAAACAAATGCGTCAGAGTCTGGGAAGGTGCTGGAGGCCCTAATGCTTTAAGTCTGAAATTAAAAATGAAAAGAAGTGGCGTGGAATAGGCCAGATCAGCACACGCTGACTGCCAAACACCCAGTGCAGCCAACTCACTGAGATTCAACATGAACCGGGCCTCCAGAATGATTGGGTCAATATATTCGGGGTGCGGCACTTGAGGGGGGCTCTCACCGCCTGCAGAAGCAGCACCATACGCGCCATGAGCCATCAAAGTACCAGCAGCAACAGCAGCAGCATGCTGCAGCGGCAGCCGAGAGCGCTCAATCCCCTGGCTAACGGATATACGGCTCTGCGACAAGGGCTACAGGCAGCAACACCGCAGTCATCTCTTCCCTTTGCCGCTATCCGCTCAGTCTCTCTAATTGCCCATACGCGTGTTCCCTTCAGTATACCCGTGTGTCGCTTCTGGTCTCTCGTCTATCGGTTCACCTGTGCTCTCGCTGCCTGCTGCTACTGCGGTGTTGCCCAACCTAACCAGCGCTGCTGCTTCTTTCTGAGTAAACCTGGCCCTTAATTAAACAAACTATAAACTCAAAAAAAAAGAGGCAGCGGCAACAGCCGCAGCATCAGTGGCACATTCCTCTCACCGAAGATCCAGAAGCTCAGGCGCTGGGCAAGGGAGGCCATCTTGTATGCGGTTGACGCTGACGTTGAAATAGGAGAAAACAAATACAAAAAAAGAAGAAGAAGACGGATAGAAACCTTAATCGCACTCAATAATACCTTTAATACCTTTAAATACCTCAAATGAATACAAGTGAACACTGAACACACAGATGAAGGGGCCCCTCCCGCTGGCAGCTGACACGCAGCATCAGGGGAGGCAGGGGTGGCAACTGGTTTCTTTGATGCTGCTTTCAAGTATTCATGTTTGCTCTACTTACAGGTATATTTGGTTACTTAAGCTTCCAGGTCATCATTTTTCCAGGTAAACAACTAATTCAATCTTCTTTTCCTAGCTTTTATCGTATTCATCGAGTCAAAAACGGGCGGAGGCCGCTGGGCGAGGACCGATTGTCCTCCTCTTCTCTGCCTCCCCTGTATTTTGTTTTTTCTTTTTTACGCACACAGTTTGTATTTGATTAGTGGAGTTGTTTTGCATCTCAGCATATCCTAATTTATTGCCGAAGTCCGCTAGCATGCGAGTAAACGCGGAGCAATGGTCCTGTGCAGACTTCTCCACCGCCGTTGCCGATTTTGTGTGCAGGTAACTCACTTCGTTTTATTCACTGTTCATTTTGAGTCTTCCTCAACTCCACCTTGAACCGAAGGCCAGCTTGTCGCGTCTTAGTCCGGTGAGCAGAACTCTTCCAAGCACTCATGGCAAAATTCAATTAAGGGTTTCGGGTCTAATAGTTGAAGCCTAAGGTTCCGCTGTGTCGCTCAAAGTGATCAAGTTGACTGCTAAGGAGTTGTTTATGGGGTGAAGGCTCGGGGTTGAGGCCTGGGCCTTCCCTGGACGGAGGGAAGTGGCCTTCTGCAGTAGTTCAGGCGTTACAGACTTTTCCTGCTAGCGTATGCTTGCGCAAGTACAGCGCGGCGAACTAGCTGCTGCCGTGGCACACGTGGACAGGTAGATAATTAGTTTTTCTCTTTTTCGAATTTACAGTGAGGGCTTTGGTTGGAGGTTAGATGCGTACGATTGCACGAAGGGGCGGGCAAGCGCTCGCACATGAGTAGGAAGATCCTTGCAGGGATATGGGTCTAAACAACATATTTTGTTGCCACAAACACTAGGGATGGGTGTTCGTCAACATGCACCGGCAACTTATTTTAACTATTCACGCACGCGGATTCGAGCATGTTTTCGTGTGGGTGGCCAAGGACCCGCATTTGTTCTTTTTGTCTGTGTCCTGCAGCTAGCGGGAGGAAACGCGTCGTCAAGTTCTTCAGTCTCCTTAGATACAATAAGTAAGCTGTTGCTGCAGCTGCTGCTTCTTCTGCGCAGTGCCATTTTCCCTTTTGACTTACTTCCATGTTCTTGGCTTCTGCCAGCGGAACGCAAAGCGCCAAGCACGCTGAATGTGGGCAGTTATCTTGTTAGGGCAGTGCATGCATCTGCCCATCTGTATATGAATGCGGAGGCGCTCAGTGACAGGTGATTTGTGAGTGTTTTGTACGTTTCTGTGGAATCTTGTTGTTACATGATGAGACAGAGCGAACTCTGTTGCCGGACATGCCCACCCTGTACTGCTTGGGTATTACTTTTATTTTTTTCGCTTGCCCACACCTGTACCGCTCTTGTTGGACCCCATGCTTTCTTTTTTATTATGTTCTTGCGGATTTCCCACGTGTTCTCCGTTGGGAGGTTTCACCAGTGGTCCGTGTATCGACACATTATTCGATTACTATTCATCTGGAAGCCATTTATATGTCCTTAAATACACATTTTTTGCTTTTCTCAGCCCACGAAAATGCCCGGCACCTGCCGCTCCAACCATGGCCTCGACTCTGGGGTGCACCCGGTGTTCCCCGTGCCGTCGTCGATGCTGGGTTCTGCTGATGGCTGCCCCACAGGAGCCCCCTACACGCACTGCAGCTACTGCACACAGATTCACAAGGACCCCCACGTGCAGAATTTGTATCCTCTGAGGCCCGATCAGCACTTGCAGCCGCACCAGCTAGCTGCTGTAAATACTTCTAATGGAGTAGGCCTGGGGCAGCCTGCAGGCAAACCCTCAGAGATCTTCATAAGCGCGCAGGATCAGGAAAAACAGTGAAGAACCAGTTAGCTAAGCTAGCTAGCTAGCTATATAGCTAGCAAGCTAGCTGGCGGGCCGAGTAAGTGGCGTGAAAGGGAGCTGAAAGGTGGCGGCGCTCCACACCTAACAGCAGGCAGCTAGCTACGCTTCAAATAGCCGTTAGCTAGCTGACGTGTTCAGTGGAAGCGCTTACATGGGCGCATCTCTGCAGCGTTAGCCTGTTGGCGCATACGGCCGTGGTCGAGTCTGGCTAGTCAGCTAGCTGGGCAGCTAGCCACCGATTTGAGGCCGTTGTTTGGCGCCATAGCATTCGCCTCTCCGCAGTTTCTGCAGCAGCAGATAAGACGAAATGTCGTCATTGTTTTCTTCCTCCACCTGTGGAGGGCAACCGCAATGACTTGGGTTTGGTTTGTTTGTAGCTTTGTAGCTCTTCAATCTTTCGTTTGCCATGGATTTGCCTGAGGAGTTGCTGCTGACGGTTCAGCAAACAGCCTGCAGTTGCTGCTGCTGCTTCTGCTGTCTAGCTGCGTAGGGGATTGTAGACACGAGCTGATGCTGCTGGTGCATCTGCCGCTGCAGAGGCCGCTACACAAGAGGATAACAGCTAGCTGTATCGCTTTTAGCTTCCACTGGTACTTCGGTGGGCCGGCCTCATCTAAGCAAAGGCCAAGTATATGTACTTCTGCATTGAAGTATTTTCGAGCGACTGTGCTCGGGTGGGGCTCACAAGTATTCTTTCAATCTTACATAAGAAAGGTACAAATAGTGCATATGAATCTATTAAGGAATGGGGAACATCGAATAATGCATGTGTCTACCTAAGTTAATGGGCTCTTCTTGCTTCCAATCAAATGCATTTTGGAGGAGTGGCTGCGAGCAACAGCAGCCTTAGGCCAGCCTTTGGCACAGTTCAGCTGCAACGAAAAGGCGCCACTCCGGGGAGGTAAGAGGCGCGTCGACAGCCGAGGGCAGGGCGAGGCATAATGGGCATTTGGCCTTTGCAGCTCCAAACCAATGGCTGAAACAACATAACTGCAAACTGAGTTGCAGGCGACGCTGCGTGACTAACAACTCGACTAATAGTAGACTACTACGCGCCTGGCACAGTCGTTCGAAGAGAGCAGCAGCAGCAGATGCTGCGAGCTTGTGCAGAACTGATGAGTTGCAGACGCAGTGCCAGCATCATAATAGGAGGGCTATTTTGGCAGCAGCGCTGAGTTCCTAACCATAAAACTGCAGTAGAAACAGGAACAGTAATAAACAACAGGAGCGGTCTAAAAGGAAAAAGGAAACTTGGGGTAGTACGGGAAACATTAAAAAAAATAGTAGCAATATTTGGTGGCTTCCCTAATCCGGGTGTCGATACACCGCAGGCCATGTTTGCCTGTAAACGAGAGTGTCAATTCAAATTGCACTTTTAAAGGAAAATGCTACTAATTTCGTCAAACGCTATATTAATGTCGTTGTGCAATGTATCCTAATGTTGTGCGTGCACGGAGTGTACGTTCACCGCTTATTGGTGGCGCACAAAATCGCAAGGCCAGACTCCATACACATACATACAAATGTACGTAGTGCACCTTATATTCACAGTCCTCCTCCATACACACGACTTCAACCTTTATGCATATGCACAGGACACATAATGCGTTCTTGTGCACTGCCTGCACTTCGAAGTAAACGTTGACCACGCATGCGCATGCACGAGCCTCTTTTAGACGCACATTATGTACACATTTATGTACCTTAGTTACACACAACACCTTGGACTTTGTGTGTATGAGTAGATACTTCGCACGCCAGGGTGTGTCTATTTTCAACACCTGCGCATGCGCTTACCATATATACACACCCCTCGGTGTGAATGCGCTTTCAGGATGCCTACATGCATTGTAAATGACACATATACGTATATTCCATATATTAGTACAGTCCTATATATTGCAGAGACGCACGTGCGTTTTACACAGTACAAATAAACATTCATATACAAGGGCTTAACAGCGACACAAGCTTGTACCCATACATGTAAAACAGAATGTGTGGGCATAGCACAAGAGTACACAATGCACTTTCATATGCGTATACATATTTCATCTATAAAGAGATACATATACACATTTACGCACGCACAACCTACTTCTAGAACGTTCTATAACGTATATGTAAACATACTTAAAATCATAATGTGTGCATATATACATGTACATAGGGCCAAACCGACGACATTGCAACATTTGCGTCAGTAATTACAGACATCCACCCGAGCCTTTGCAAGCAGAGCCGTGATCTGTCTTTTCTACATATGTCTAATATGGCCTCCCCAGTTTATTTTCCGTTTACTTCACGTATTGCTTCACACTTTGCATTCTTTTCCCTCTGTGGCTACTTGTTTCTTTGCATACACCTGTATCTCTTGCGTCCTCAAGAAGTGCAGGCGCCTTAGGCTTACTGGTACCTTCAAGCAAATGGGTGGCGCGGAGTGTAACGGAGGTGTGGGGTGTGCAGGCAGTTTGGGGTGTACAGGCAGTCTGGAGTGTACAGGCAGTTTGCGGTCTACAGGCAGGTCCGAGTATACCGGCAGCTTGGAAGTGCGAGGACTGCTCCTGGTGTATAGACAGTACAAAGTTATTGCACGCCCGTCCCCAGGGCCCCCCACCCGATGTCTCTCTTTTTTTGTTGATTCTTATATCACTGCTCATTTCACTGGGGATCCTCATCAGAAAAATCGTCGTCGTAGGGTTCTCCTTCAGAGCTTTCATCTGCATCTGTATTCGAGTTTGCAAAGAGGCTTGCCCAGGGAGCTTCTGTTCCTCCTGGTCTTTGCGGTGCAGCGGCTGTTTCCGGTGCTGCTGCTGCTTCTCCCCGTGTTGCTGCTGCAGCCGTCGTCGGTACCCTCTCTGGTGCTTCTGGTGCGCCTGCTGGGGCCTCCCCTGCTGGCCCTGCTGCTGCTTCTGGGGCCGTTGTGACTGACGGGGCTGCTAGGGGTTCTTCGGGGCCACTCGCTGCTGCCTGTGTTTTTTCTGGCTCTTTTGGAGCAGCTGCTGTTGGCGGTAGTGGCGGTGCTTGAGGGACAGTGGGTGCAGATGGTGGCGCTGGTGCTTCTGGCGCTGCTCCTGCTTCGGGTGCTAATGATGCTGTTTCTTCGGGTGCTGGTGATGCTGTTGCTTCGGGTGCTGATGATGCTGCTGCTTCGGGTGCTGATGATGCTGCTGCTTCGGGTGCTGATGATCCTTTGGTGGCACTTTCTGCTCCTGATGTTTCTGGTGTTTCTGGCCTCTCTTCTGTTTCCTCTGTTACAGATGGTCCTGAGGATGTTCCTTCTGACTCTGCTTCCGACTGTTCTGCTTCTATGTCCAGTGCTGCTGCTTCTTCAGGAGATGCTGCTGCTGGCGGTGGTGCTGCTTCGTCTGCTTCTGAGTCTCCCTCTGCCGATGCTGATCCTGCACCAACCAGTTCTTCCGGTATCTTTGGCAGTTGTGGTGTTGCCGCTCTCCACACAATTTCATCTGCTGTTTCCAGCTGCTTTACTCTTGGCGCTACTCGGGGTCTTGGCAGTGGTGGGGTTTTTGGCACTGCTGAGGTCTTTGGTAGTGCTGTGGCATCTGGCGCTGCTGGGGCCTCTGGTGTTGCTGTTGCTGCTGGGGTTTCCGGCTCTGCTGGTGGTGCTGCGGCTTCTGGCGATGCTGAGGCTTTTGGCACTGCCGGGGCTTGTGGTGGTGCTGGGGCCGCCTTCACTTGTGGTGCTGCTGGTGTTGCTGGGGCTTCCGGCGCTGCTGATGGTGCTGGGGCTCTTGGCACTGCTAGGGCTAGTGGTAGTGCTGGGGCCGGTGGCACTGCTGGTGCTGCTGGTGCTGCTTCGGCTTCCGGTGCTGCTGGTCGTGCTGAGGAATCTGGCACTGCTGGGGCTGGTGCTGCTGGGGCTTTTGGCTGTGGTGGCTCTGTCTCTGCGGTCTGCAAAGCCCCGGCTCCTTGCTGCGCCTGCGTTGCCTGCGGCGGCTGCGGGACAGCGGCTGGCTCTGCTGTTGGTGATGCGGCCTCGGGGCTCTGCTGGGGAGAACCAATCAGCTCCTTCAAGAATTCTTCTTCTTCCATGGGATCTGCGTTGCCGCGTGGCGCATATTGCACGATTTTCGGTTGGGGGAACATCCATCTATCTCCTCGTCCTCCTAGCACTTCCAGTACCTCATCTTCTTCCTCTTCTGGCACTTCTTCCTCTTCTGCTGCTGCGGCCCCTTGAGCACCGAACGCTGCACGCCGGCTCCCAGCTGACTGCGGCTCTGGAACTTGCGGCTGCCGCGGCTGCTGCGGCTGCTGCGGTCCTGCTGCCGCTGCTTCAGGCAGGTCCCCCTTTTCTTCTTTTCGTTCAACTTGTTCTGCTTTGCCGGCCGCTTCTGTTGGTCCTGCAGCCAGCGCGCCTCCGATCGCTCCTGTTTGTGGTTCGGCTGCTGGTGCTGCTGTTTGGGAGCTTTCCGCAGGTTGCTCAGAAGCTGGAGGCGGTTGCTGCACATGGGGAACAACGAAGAGAGGATCCGGCGGAGGCAGTACAACTGGTGCTGCAGCAGCTCCGGGTTGTGCGTCTGGTGCTGCAGCAGCTCCGGGTTGTGCGTCTGGTGCTGCTAGTGGTGCTGCCACTGGCACCTTTGCTTGCTGTTCGTCAGAGTAGTCTGCAGGGTAGAAGTTGTCGTCTTGATCAGCGTCGCCGAAAGCTGCTAAAGGAGTTGCAGGATTTTCAGACTCCACAATGCCGTCGCTGCGCACGAGTTTGGGCACAGTTTGCCTCGGCTTTTCCTCGGGGCCGCCCTTAACGGCTTGTGGTTTCGCGGCTGCCGCTGCTGCCGCTGCTGCTGCTGCTGCTGCTGCTGCTGCTGCTGGTGCTGCGGCGGCTTCTGCTGTTTGCTCGTCGGAATCGTCGGGGTCCAGATCCACGAAAGGGTCCTCGAAAACGTCTTCATCTCCCTCTTCGTCTAAGACCCTCACCGCATCGTCCGCACTCTCCGTCGAATCCGTAGAGGGGAGAGGGCCCAGCAGCGCCACATCCATGATCTGGTGGGCCTCCAAAGCACTTCGAATGAAAACGCCAGACAGCATTGCGCCGTCAGTGAGGGTGGCGGCCATAGCGCCTTCTGCTTCTGCGTCGAGCTGCAGCTCGCGCTGCCTCTCCAGTTGGGCCGCAACGCTTTCCAGCTCAAGGGGGTCCAGCATGTCGCGGGCGTCGGCCTGCAGCTGATCTGCTGCTGCCAACAGCTGGTGCAAAATGACCAGCATTTGCGCCTCCTGCTCCAGCATGGAGGTGCTGGACAAGTGCAGGCTCAGCCTGTAGGCCAGCGCCTCGGCCTCTGTTGCGGCAATCAGCACTTCGTCTATAGTAGCCACTCCGCGGGCCCGTTCCCGCACATCTAGCATTTGCTGCATTTCATTGTTGGCGTCCCGCAGCAGGCTTTCTGCCCTCTCCAGAATGGCATTCAGCTGGTTTTGCGGCATCCACGGTACGGTCTTCAGCGACATGGCCTGCGCACTCGCCATCTCCTGCTTTTCCTGCAATTGCTGCAGCATTTGCGAAGCGTTGTCGCAGATGCTGTCTACGGTGATCATCGCGGCGCTGACGGCCTGCGGCCCAGCGGTGTGCAGCACGGTGAAGGCGGAGGGGGACTTTTCAATAACAGTTGAAATGGCTGTGAGATTTTCTCTGATGTGTCTCGCGGCCAAGTCCAGCGCCTCCCGCGCGTCGTCCATCTCCTCGACGTTTGGGGCCTCCTGCAGCAGCTCCATTTGCCGCTGCATCGCAGCGAAGGCGGAGCCCAGGCTTTGCAGCTGCGCCTGCGCTTGCAGCAGCTGCCCCCTTTCCTTGGCCGCGGCAGCAGCAGCAGCACCGCCCTCGCCCGCAGAAATCGTCTTGAGGGCCGCACTGACCAGCAACTCCGCTGCTCGCCGCCGCGCCCCCAACTCCGCCCCCACCACCAACCACTCCGTTAAGCTGCCAGAGCGCAGCAGCGAAAGAGCCACATCCTCGAGCGCCTTGGTTGCAGCAGCAAACTGGGCTCGCGCGGCCAGGCTGTGGCGCGCGGAGCGCAGGCAGTTGCTGCTGTGCTGCAGCGAAGAGGTCTTCTCCGAAAACCAGTAGAGGGGCTTACTTCCCAGCTGCTTCTGCCGATTCATGACCGTTAACATCAGCCGGCGGGCCCCGGAGGCCGCGTGGAACAAACAGGTGCGCCAGGCATGCACGAAGTCCGGCTCTACCATTGGCTGCAGATGCGCCAAGTATTCATCTTCGAGCGTAGAGACCCGGGGAATGGAGGGGGATTCAACGACTTCCTCTCTCACGGCCTTGCGCACCATCATCTCGAGGTGTTCAACAGCAGATTGGGCCTTTCTGTTGGACCCCACCAGCGCTGCCAGCGCGTCCGCCGCCCCTGCTGCGTCCCCCTTTGCTGCTGCAGCCTCTGCAGCCTCTCGGTCGCCCGCGGCGGTCACAAGCAGCGACCGCAGCTCCGCCACCAGCACCGAGGCCATGGGCATATCCAGCGCCGAAGCCACTCCCGAAGCCACCGGCAGCAGCCCCATCATCTCCTTCAGCCGCTGCGACTGCCCCTCCAGAGTCAAGTCCTCCGCCTCGGGCTCGCCTTTGCCTTTCTTTGCTGGGTCTTGCTCATCGTCTTGGCCCTCCTTGCCGCTGTCTGAGCCTCTCCCCCGCAAATGCAGCCAGCCAAGCGAAGCAGCAGCCGCAGGCGCAGCGATAGCTAGCGCCAGCAATAGTGCGAGGGCAAAAGGCAATGCCTTGCCTTTCCGGTTAACCCTGGAAATTGCAGTCGCATCTTCCGGAGTGTCCAGAAGAGCGACAGAGTCTCCAACTTGCTCATCATCCGCGGCCACTTCTCCCTCTCCCGGTACTGTCACCGCAGGACTTTCGTACCGTTCCTGCCCTGGATACTCAGCTGCTACTGCAGAAGTGAGAAGAGACGATGCGCACAGGCAAAAAAGGGCCAAACCGAGAAAGACCCCTAAAGCCAACCCTCGGTGGGGTGCCGCTGCAGCTGTGGGGCGGCGCTGAGCACTGCGAGTTGAACCCTTCAGTCTATTCATCTTTCAAAAAAGTGTGTGCAGTTTATTTCAACGTACGTTTTAACGTCGCGCGTTTCTGCAGGCGAGTTCTGAAAATTGAACGTCCTCGCGCCTGCGGGGCGGATCAAGCGCCAGCTTTTGGTGAAGTGCAAAAGAAACCCATCTGCCTGGTTCCCAGTCCGTTATCTCTATTTCATTAGTTCAGGAAAACGGCAAATACCAGAAGAAAGACCAAACCGGCGGCAAGCAGCGTGCCCGTGGCGGTTGCCCTCGTCTCTTGCTCTCAAGCTGTCGACTCACAACCCCAATTCAGCAGAGCTTGCTTGGTGGCGCCCTAGGCTCGTGCGTTGTTTTGAATACAGCCTTTAAAATTAAAGTGCGAGTTCAGACAAATAGAATAATTTTCGTTGGCCCACAAAGCTATCGAGCAAAGAGCAAACAAACGTGGCAAGCCAGCTGTGCAGGCTGACCCGATTGACTCCGAACTCCCGGCGAGCGTGGCTACCTCACCACCTCTTTCGCCCGTTTTCTCCCGTTCGGATCACCACTTACTGACAGCATTTGTAGCGCATGCATTTGATATATTTTCGCATTAAACGCAATTAAAATATCGAAAGAACCCTGGCAAGCCTATTCTGAGGGGTGGATAGTATATGGCACGCTGGGGCGACAGGCGCCGTAGGTGAACCTAGCTTGAATGGCTGTTCGTTGCCCCATTCTTCTCCTTTGTTGGGGCATTTTTGCCAAGTAGTCTTGCAGTTTGGGCTATTAATGCAATTATTGGGGTGTTTCGGGTAAAATTTCGGAAGAGGTGCGGCGTGATTGGTGCGTTTCTGTAAGGTCGCAGCATCCCCCTGTGTTCCATCCTCGCAGCATCGTTCGTGCAGGAGTAGGTCTTGTGGAAACTAGCTGAAGGAATGATTTATGCTATGTATACGGCTAGAACTTCAATAATAAACTTGTAATTTTCTACATATATCCCAAGCATGGACCGTGCATCTTGTGCAGATACAACAACCAATTGTGCGCATATGTGTGTGACCCGGCTGCTCTGGGTAAGCAAACAAACACTAGGAGTTTCCCTTGAAAATGGCAGGTATAAACTCTATGGTGCAATGAGGTGCACCCTGTACGGTGAACTACTGCACTCCCGTAGAAACTATGATACTAGCATCACAAGCAAACAAAACAAGACTCCAAAGTGTCTATGGACAGCATACTGAGTAGCTAGACAAACCCAGATTCAGATTCCACTCTCGTGAGAATGTAGGGATGCTCTCATGCAGCTCTACACTTGGGGTTATTGAAAAACGGCGCAACAATGCGCCATCTGAAAAGACACGTACACGGGTTGAAAATGGGTCACTAGAAAAGGGCATCGCTGACCAGGTAGCCTCTCAGAAGTAACAGTGTACAGTAGGCTACCCTACACGTCTGATTTTGGATTATATGCAGAGCTTTAGAGGCCCTGACCCTAAGCAATGCTGGCGTGCGTATGCTCGTTAAAAAGTAAGACCATGTGCTTGTTTGCACGAATGGGTCATACAAAGTTAAAGCTTCGACACGCTTTTGGTGGCACTGTGAGCCATTGATCATTTTTCCAGCTCTGCACTTCTGGTGCCACAAAGCCTTCTCATAGTGCGCCAACACAAGCTGGGCACGTGAATGGATCAGCACTGCTAGTTGACCAACTCTCGATGACACCACACACAGTAGGCATAAACTTCTCGATGACCCAAACACTTAGCTAGAAAAGCTGGTAAGGCTGAAGGCTATCAGCGATGCGTGCTCGCTTAGTGCGCACAGAGCTTCCATTGCCTACAAGGTTGTTGCAAGCTACAATATGCGGGTTTGGCTCCAGACTTCACAGGGTCTTGCCAGCCATCTGCGTCCTTTACACACGTTAGTACCAGTTTGTGCTATGCTTGAGTTATATTCAATATTCATGCCATCAAAAATCATTTTTCTTCACAACTGCAATGCGCAGCTGCACGCTCACGGCTTTGTCTCCCCCTTAGTGCTCCCTTGATTTAGGCCTTCTCGAATTGTAATCTTTACAAACAGCATTTCCTTTTACTCAGGGTGTGCCTATGCAGTATATCGCGATTCGTAGAGCCCCATATATTTCAATAATGAGACCAGGGCGCTACTAAGGGCGTAACAGCCAGATATCCAGTGTGTGTCAACATCGGCGAGTAAGTCCGCCCACAGCGCCAATGATATCAGCAGGCTCACTGGCACTGTTCGTTTTCTGCATTAGGCACAGTACTGTAGCAGGCCTAATGCCGCTTTGATATTACGGGCGCGACCGGAGACAGCCTTTATCGGGACTTCAATGGCGAGTAGTGTCTGGCGCCATGGCGGCGCGGGGCGGCGCACTGGTGGCAGCTCAAGAGGCTTTTCTCAAATGATCTGTGAGTAGTTCTGACGTGCTCCTCAGATCTACTCACAGATCATCTAAAGAGCTCGCTTGACCCATATGCTTTTAGAAACGCCGCGCTACTCCCTGCCACGCCTGGGAACCTTTAGCATGCAAAATTTCTTGCGAAATGGCCCATGGCTTGCCCCTATCCTCACCAAAAGCGATCTCATTTGCTCTTGTAGAGAGCGGCTCGACTTTTTGCAGGGCATCTCTGCCGAGAAGGCCTTCTGCTAAACATGTGGTTACTTCTGGTGTTCTAGCTGGCAACTTCTGAAGTAGTTGACAAATGAAAAGTGAAAGAGGGATAGGTTTCGGGCTCCTCTATTATATTTTGGCCGGGTAGGGTTTCTCAGCTATTCTTCGAAAGGGCATTCGGGGCTGAGAGCACCTTTAGAAAGTTCTAAATATGAACACAACAGAGAAATCATGTGTTTGACTTGCCCATTTATTTGGACAGCCTAGCAAGGCAACAGCTGGCAGCAAAGGAGCGCCGTCACCACCTGTTCTACAGGGCGCTCGGTTCACGTGGTGGCCATTAACATCTACAGGACTCTCACAGTGTTGACATGCAAACCGGTGCTGACGCCGCGCGACGTACTGGGAGAAAATACTGGCACTTTTGCCTTTGCTTTTGCGGGCACAAGCGCGGACTGACAAGGAAGGGTAAGCAGCAAAGAGACCTTGCCCACCTTGACAACGTCCCTCCTGGGAAGGCACAAAAAGGAGCAGCTCGTGAGGAGGGCAGCGGAAGCTGGAACAGTGGGAACAGGGAAAAGTAGGGCCGATCGCCATACAGTTGCCATGCTGGCCCAGTTCATTCCAAGTTCGACTGGTGAACAGGGTCGCAGAGGAAGTGTGGAGGAGAGTTCGACGGGAATTTACTGTGCAGCTCTACCGTATGTTTTCAGGCTAGCTGCCGGCTATTCTTGAGTTCGACCTGCTTCTGTACTGCGAAGTGCCACTGCGTCGCTTGCACCACGATTGCCGAGCTTGGCGTTTTCGCCCCTATTCTTAGGGGCCAAGCTTCAACTGGATCCCTGAGGTGCGCTTACATTGTCTTCCCTACACATTTAGCTTTCGATTACAAGCCATAAACAATGAAGCTCAAATGCCGAAAATACTTGAAAATCACCAAAACTGACTTGTTCTTCGCCTTTGCTACGGCCAGCCCCGGCACTTAAAGGGTCTCACCACCTTCCAGGCATCATTTTCTCGCTAATATGGATTAGACTAAGATGTTTACAATAGCTGCTGCGTAGCTTGAAACGTGGCTTACAACTATAAGGGAATTTCGGGCACCACTGCAGTGTCCAGCGTTTCAGCACTCCAGCATGGGGCAGACAGTCAATGAGCACAATAACTTTGTCTGTTTGAAGTGGAAAGCCTCAGATCTTCTGTCTTTTCACACATTAAATAACATTTGAATTAAAACTATTATTTTTGGTATGTGCTGCCTCTTAGAAGTGGCTCCGTGCACCCTTCTTGTATTGAGCACTCCGTGTGTAGGGCGGTGCTCATGCAATCGCTTAACCAGGGATCGCTCGCTGCTGTTATCTTCAGCGGGCATATAATTTTTAAAGCATAGTTTTATTTTCTTCGACTTATTATCTTCGTATCTGCTAAATTTGCGGGGACTAACCCGGCACCAACCAGAATCAGTGCAGTGCCCATCGGCGGCTCTTGCTGTAGGGTAGCACGTTATTATTGGGTCTTATTAAGGGCAAGACTGTTACAGTTTATTGTATAAATGTGCACACGTTAAAGGGCTAGTCCATAATATTGACGTTTTCAGGTAAAGCTTCAAGAAATTTTGGTGAACGCTCAAGGGGAGCGGACGAGGGGAACTGCTTCCGCTCCCACTGGCCCCGCTCGTTCACTCTATTTTGAATTTCTGATTCTTTGAGGAAAAAAGTGGGACTTTTTTTTTCCATTTTGTACGATCCGCTTGAATTTTGTCTTTTAAACTTGTAAAATAGCCCTGCGTCCCCCCAGACTCTTGCGCACGACATAGAGAAGGCAAGTGGCAGCAGCCCCTGAACAGGAATAACGTTCCATTTTCTATGTTTGCTCTCCTGTGTTTTATGTGGAGCCCATATACAGGATAAACCTTTTAAGGACTGAATATTGAGCAAACGGGCTCTTTTCTCCTGTCCACACCGAAATCGTCTCCAGGCCTTAGGCACGCAAACGCGATGTCAATCGGTAACTAAGAGCAGTCGCACGCAGCAGCGAAGCCCCGAGCAACAACTTGAAATACAGTACACTTTTTCTTTTAAAAATGAAAAACTACGGAAAGCGCTCTGTTTCCCCCTGCCCCACAGTGGCAGCTCCTCGTATCCCCAAATTATCTCTCCCGGCTCAGTTGTGTGGCGCTCTCTTTTGTTTGTACTTTTTGTCTACCATAACTGCCGCTGCAGCGGCGAAGAATGAAGCTGAAGACTACTCCTTATCCGTTCAAAACCCCTTGGGGCCAGGGCTTCATGGAGGGACGGTTCCTAGTAGCTACAGTGCAGCGGCAAACCTGCACACTGACAACACTTCTGTTGCCGTAGAGGCACCGGAAAGCGTTGCTCCCACTGGCTCAGCCGCACGAGGCACC